CCGTGTTTCACAGCTTAGCTCAGGTGCCCCATTCCTATGGGAAGCCTTTGTGATTTTCCCAAACCGATTATGACTGTACTGTTTTCTGACTTGTACCCCTTATATTGTCTGCCATAGGCATGCTTTATCTTGGCGGTGTGCCTAGATGTCTTCTTCCTAGTTTGCAAACTCTGGAAGGGTGAGGAACTGGGTCTTACCTATCTTTCTCACCTTACAAATAGTTGATGTCCAGCATATAAGTTTTAGGTTTAATGAGCTGTATAACTCAGCTGCTATACAGATTTTTTTTTTTCCTGAAAATAAACTTTCAGCAACTTTACAGTCTTCACATTTTTCTTTCCGTAATTACCCAATACTGGACATTTGGAAAAATTCATCTTCCTGCCATTGTGTCCCTCATCCAGGGCTTTTGACATACATTTTTTCCAGGACAGGCTCCAGCATTCCTGCCTTGGCAGGTTGATGGCTATAACTGTGAATAATGAGTCGGTTACCATCCGGCCTCAGGGAAAGCACAATTATTCCTGACTGGCCAGGCTGCGGTAATCCTCTCCTCCCTACGCCCTTTCAAATGGAGAACATAAAACAGTTGGAAGTCAGAGCACTGCAAAGGGAATTTAGACAAAACATTTGTGTGCTGAATGTAGCTTCTTTGGATGTATTCTGATTTATGATTGATTGGTTTTAAAATTGCTTATTTAATCCTAACGACTGTTGCTCCAGGGGAGGCCAGATACCAGGAAGCGTGTGATCCAGAAGCAGTGGAGTGAAGTAGTTTGGCTGGATGAATCAAGAGCAGATATTATTGTCCAGAGAAACATTGCTGTAGGCTAGAAGCATAATGTGAAAATCACCCAGACTTTCAAGGTGCCCAACCTTGTTATAAGCATGATTGCTTATCCTCTATTCTCTTTGCAGACAGCTTTCTTAGCAGCTGCCTGGTGTTACACAGAATATTCCCCCTATGAGTTCTTCCTTGCTTTAGCAATATATTCAGTATCTTGTGACCGAGAACGTGCTCTTGATTTATAGTGCTGTTGACTATGGTGCAGAAGAACAGACACTTTGAGATTCCTGGCAGGGTTGATCATGTATTCTGAAGTTGCTTGTGCTGATCTGTGAAACCTACTGCAAATGTGGTCATGCTTCTCGGTACATGCGTGCCAGTCTGGCTCTGTGTGGATGAACTTGAAGTTTTAAAAACAGTGTCTTTCAAAGTTGAGTTTTCCAAAAGTAATCATTTTCTTCTGGAAGATATATAATCAATATGTGGTTCGTTTCTAATTTATGAAGCCATCAAAAGTTTTCACCTTTTCAAGGAGTGTAACCTTTCTTTTTGGTCTGAAATTAGACACTGAAGGTATAGTGGTGGCCTTGTAAGGCAGATCTGTTGGAAGCTTGTCGGTTTGGTATCAAAAGGAAATTGAAATTCCATTGCTTCAGAATAATGAAACCTCTGAAAAACCTTTAGCAAAAAAAAACTTTCGTCTCATCTGTATTGAAGTTTTGACTCAGAAATGCCCAAAGAAATACTCTTTCAGGTCTCAATAACCTACTTGTTCTCTGAAATATTGCTGTTAGATTTCTAAACTGTATTATGCCTGACACGGATTTCAAAGCAAGAAACATTAGGGACAAGATGAAAGGGTAGAAGAGGACTGTGATAAAAAACAGAAAAAGAAGAAGAACAGGAGATGAACAGCTGGGTGGCACGTGCGGATCGCCGCCAGGATCACTCTGGGAAGCGGCATCTGGTCTCTAATCAGACTGTCGGCCACTTCGGAGTCTGGGCTGTGCCAGCATCTGCCATTTTGACATTATCATATTGAAAAAGAACTTTTTTCCCATCTCGTTCTGCCAGGAGATGTATTATTCAGTAGGTTTAAAATGATAAAAGACTCTATAAAGAGTGCTTTTAGGTCTTTGGAGCGACACAATGTATATTCTTGTGGAAGTAATTTCAAGGTTTAGGAAAGACCCGTAAACTGCAGTTTTAATCAAAGAGAGAATAAGTTCTTTTATGTATCCTGTAGTATTTTAAAAATAGAAAAATTTATATTTACAAGAGCGAGGCGTTTTCAAAGAGAGAAGAATTTTTGTTGGATCTGTTCATCAGTAGTTCAGTATAGAGGGGACTTCACCAAGTTTTGCTCTTTGTTTCAAAGCCATTTTATATGGTTAAGTCTTAGATAACCTGAATATTTTCTTGGAAATGGTAGAGGAATGCAATGAGTGAGAACAAATAGAATGTGTCCTTCCAGAAGGTCTATTATTTTCAGACATTGCTGGGCTTTTCCTTTAAGTCACTATTACTAGTGTTCTTCTGGGTCCATAGTCTTTTCTTTGTTAATCCTAAATTTAGGTTGTGCTTGCCTTACAGGCTAAGCTGTGAGAACTGTGATAGCCACAAGAAGTCATCTTCCTTTCTTACTTTGCAGAAGAATCTCTTTCATTCTTCTGTTAATTCCTCCCGTTGCTAAGCACATCCATGTCTATCTTGCTTTCTCCTAGTACCACTGGCTATTGTTACCTTGTGATTAATTCAAGACATCTTTGTGGCTATAAAAAGAGGAAAATGTCTAGGGGACTAAGTTCTAAGATCATTTCCTTCTCTGTTCTGTGATCCTTCATTACACTGGTTATCCTAGCACTATTCTTAGCAACCCTTCCAAAAGCTTCCTCAGTCTTCCATGCACTCTCTCGAGCATCCAAACCTGGTGCTTCACTCCTGAGTTTCTAAGGATTCTTTGGGGGCAAAAGGCAGGGTTCCCCTCTGCCAGTAGTTGGTAGGAGTTATGGATGCTGGTACCCAAGGGAGTAGTATAGAGTGTGTGTTGTTTATGGATACGACTTTTTAAGAGAGAAAATGATGCATTCAATATTTGTGTTTTCTTTCTCTGTCTTATTATTGATGTACTATGGACTAGGCTACTTTATCTCTGTTCTTCAATAGTATGTCCATGTTAATATTCTAAGGAAGTCCCACAAGTCTTAATTCTGTCAGTGATAAGGTGTTCAGAAACTGGATGCAGGAACAGCTGGACTCGCATCAGGCTGTGATTATCACCACAGTCGCACTGGTTTTCATGCTGTGTATCTGGTGGCTCAAGAAAAACAACTACAGCCCCTTTTCTTGTTTAGGTTATCTCATAATTCCTTCAGTTAGAAGCTTGTCTAAGGACCTCACAGATAAAGTCACCCTTCATCTCTGGAACATTTGCATAGTAGAGTCTATCTAGTAAGGGAATAGAACAGGATTCCCCAACCCAGCAGTGGCTTGGTTTTGGGTCTTTGATTACTTTTCTATCCTGTATCACTCCCTAATCATAGACATAGATTTTTATATTTGCCATTTTCACAATAAGCAAGTTTCAGCTTGCGGGTGTGTCCCGCAGCCCTGGTTGTTCTTTGATTATTGTATACTTTTCTTTGTTTCCTTTCTAGGACCCTCCTCCTCCCTCCTATTTCTTTCTTCTTGTGTTCTGTGAGGACCTTTTTCGGTCATTTGTTATATCATTCTGGGTAGTAAAGCACAGTAGCTGGGAGGATAGATTCTGTTCAAAGACTGGGTTAAAATTCCCGTTCTATTACTTATCAGTTGTATTGCCTTGAACGAGTTATTTAATCTCTCTACTGGCCTTGGTTTTCTTATCTGTAAAGTGGGTATAGTAACAGTCCTTCCCTAGAGGGGCATTGCATGGCTGAAACGAGATGCTTATAAGAGAGTGACACCCAATAAATGTTAACTCTTTACATTAGTTTTAATATCACTACTAATATTAAAAATGACCTCATGGCTTTCCATTACCTCAGTGTAATTTATGGGCACATAATTCCTTGTGGCCATATTTCTCCCTAGATTTGCAACTGTGTTTGGGTCCTTTCTACCACAGTTTTCACCAGTAGCTCAAATGCAGCATGGCCAGAATTAGATTCACTAGCTTTCACCTAACTTACTCCATTTTTCTCTCCCGTATTTCTGTTAATGGCACCATAGTATTATAATTTTCTCAGTGTCTTAATTTCAGATTAATTCCAGGCTCTTTTCTTTTTCTAAGAGATAGTCATGAACATGAGTAGATTTAATTCACAGGTATTATTGCTTATAATTGTAGAGTTTAGAATAAGACATTGGTTAGATAAATGATTTTACATTTATATAATGCGAGTCTCTATAGCTGTTAAATTTACACAGAAAAGTATTCAGTAACATGAAAAGAAACACTGCTGGCAAACTGAATTAGTGTGTGTGGTATGATTCCATTTTGATTTTTAGAAGTACACATGGATGTGTAAAAGGAGATTAGAAAGATGGCCACTGGGGCTGGGGATTTAGCTCAGTGGCAAAAGCGCCTGCCTGGCATGCGCAAGGTCGTGAGTTCGGTTCCCGTACCGGAGAAAAACCTAAAAAAAAAAAAAAAAAAAAAAAAGATGGCCACTGAAAACCTTTCGTTGTGGTTATTCTGGCTTGTAGGATTATGAGGGGTTTCTATATTTTGCTTTTTTGTCTTATAAATTTTTAAAAATCATTCATACTTTTATATAAAGAAAAAATCTCTTAAATTTAGAAAAGAATAGAATAAATGATGTCTGAAAGTCTAGCAAGTACTATACTTTACTGACCTTTTAATTATGACCAAGTACAATGCTGAATTCATAGCAAGCACTCAATTAATAGTTGTTGAATGTTGAGTGATACATTTTGGAAATAACTTTAAGAGTGCTCAGTGCTTCAAGAGATTCAACTTGTAGGCTTCATAGAAGTATTTTTTTTTCCTTCGAAGAAAGTTTCTCAATAAATACAAAATAAACCAAATTGGACATGGTCGATGTTTTCTTTCTTTTTTTTTTTTTTTTAAAGAGAAAAAAATGACAGTGTTTCCAAATAGGTTAGTAGGAGAGTGACAATAATTAATCCATTGCATATTGTTGTCTTCATAGTAGTTATTCAGAGCACAAAAGAGCGATGCTTTCTAACACTGCATAACTTATCATTTCAGAGGATAACTTGACCAAAAGGGGAGCGTTTGGGCTGGATGCTTCAGAGAACACGTTTACGTCAGTAGAATGTACTCATAAAAATGAACCACGTGACCACCGTCTTAGAAATGCATCTACTTTCCTTTGTACTTCATCACAGTGTTTAGAAGACAAAGAGGTAATATTCTAGTAATGTATAGAAATAGTCCAAGGAAAGAAGCATTTTACATGAATTTAAAACAAGAGAGACCCTAAGAGACATTGGGCTGTGACTGGACTTCTCTTAATTCTAGAAGGAGTGTCATGGGGCACTTGGTTCAAAATCATCATTACATTTCAGTATTTCAGCAGCTGTCATTTGTGATAGCAACTTGGTTATCTTTAGTTTTCATTAAAAACCTCTTAAAGATCTGTCATCTGTAAGTTCTTTGTGTAGTTATATGTATGTTTTGTTTGGGATGAAAGGGTTCTGGTGTATACTTCTTTGTATAAAATGGGACTTAGTTTTACTTGTCCTAGGTTCATCTCTATTGTGGCTTGTGTCTAGATGTCCCTCAGAGCCTCATGCGTTCATAGGTGGGGCTTTTTCGGGGGTGGATGGGTCTAGCGTGTGTGATGCTGGAATTGATTCATGGTGCAATGCTAGGATCAAGGAACTAGGATTAAGAGTTTGAGTGCTACCTCCCTGAATAGTTCGGATAAGATACAAGGGAGAGCAAGAGCTGTGGTTTTCCCTTGAGTTTTGCTTCCTTCTGCCTACTATAAACTGTTTCTTCTCTGTGGTGCTTGTCTGCCATGCCATCTGCCTCGGGGGCAGCCTAAAACCCTACAACCTGTGAGCCAAATAAATCTTTCCTCCTTTAACTTTGGGTGTCAGGTATTTTGTCTGAACAACAGGAAAAGTAAGATAATCTCCTTCAGATTTAAAGGTAGAAACTATTATCTTGGTTTTCCAAGATTTGGTCAATAAATGTCCGATGCTTTCTTCCTAATCTTCAAGACTTTATAGACCATTCACACTTTCCTGGGCTGTTTTTTAATTACCAGAGAATGATGGTACACGCTATGGTATCTTTCAAGCTGTTTGAGTTTGTACTGCTGCCTTATCTTGTCTCCCTTTGATATTGTAACAGAGTGGTGGAAGAGACTGTGATTTTTGCACGGAAACAAAAATCTGTGTGCTGGAAATGTGTTTATATGCAGCAGAGACCTCTAAATCTGTAAATATTTATTTCCAGACCTTGCTTTAAGTGGTGATTGTGAGAGATGACCTTTTTTCCTTAGAGGATTTATACTTTACTAGTAATTATTGGTCATTTGGATTGTATTATATATTGTAATGTAATGTCTTTTATCAGCTTGTAAGAAGCGAATAATTGAGTGATATTGTTTTCTAATAAGAAACTGTTGTATTAACATTCTCAGATTTGTCCATCAGAAGTTCTTTGGGATGTAGAGGAGGCGAAGAACGTTCTTGTTTTACACACAACAACACTGGAGTTAATCTACTGTGGGTTGCAGTGTAGATGGGTCTTCAGGGCAGAAATAGAAGTGACACTTCTTGAAAGTTTCTCTCTGACCACTTCCAGAATCTAGTCTCTCATACAGAGCTAAGTAACAATAACAGAAAGGCTACATGATCAGCTACTTTGCCTTCAGTTGCTTCAACTTCCCAATAATGTCCTCCCTGTATTTGCAGATAGTGTTGGATGAAGGCCAAAAAGTTGGCACTTTCTTTCATGGCGATCTGCACCGGGCAGGAAAGGTGAAGGTAAGGCACGGTTCAGCTTACTTCTGTGGCAGAAAAATGCAAACAAAACCACAGACACATTTGTTTTTCTTTCTATGAAGTTGGAGAGTTCAGCTGATTTGGTCTTTGCACTTTTTTTTTAAACTGGTGTTTGAATATCCTAAAACTGTCCTTGCTTGGTGGTGTTTTGGATCTTTTTTCCTTCAAGTTTAACACACGGGAAGGGTGCTTTAATAGAAAAATGTGTCTCTAGTCCTTCTTAGCATATACCATTCAGAAAATGATAGTACAACAGAATCTCAAATTCTACTACCGAAAGCATCACATAGAAGATATATCAGTGTCACTGGGATGCCAAGTAATAATTGCAGTTTTGTGTTTCTAAGCAATGGAAACTACCAGTTTAAATTCCTAAGGAATAGCTGTGGTCTGGCTATTCCAAGGAGAGCTAGGGGGAAAAAATGTCTGTCTTTTGAATTGCAGTTATGAAATATAAATCTGTAATTTTAAGGTATTTTGTTATGCACATATTTAGGTCGTGAGCATAAAAAGCATCACAACCTTATTCCTGTCATTTATGCTGGTGGTGCAATCATTTTCTTATTTACAGTCTTTGATATTCCTCTGCGATGAATTAGCTCATGTCTGAAATGTTGCCATTTTGTTAATCTAAAATGTCTGATTGTCAGCTTGCAGTGGAAAGCAGGATTCCACGTGGAATAGTCCTTCATTGAAATGCTGTTGTTGTCTCTGTAAAGGTCATTTGCTCTGTTTTTTACCTTTGAAGTAATTTTTGGTTTTATTTGTTCGAAAGAGAGAACACTTGATTTTTTGCCCTGCTCACCTCTCTTGTGACTTACCTGGGGCAGGATGATTTTGTTTTGAATGAACCTTTCTCTCCGGCATTCTTTAGTTTCCTCTGCCTGGCTTTTTAGAGTGCTATATCCTCACTGCCCATATTATAATGATGCCCATATTATAATGATGAGGCAATGTAAGAGAAACAAAACAGAAATCCTGTTTAGAACCATCATGGCTGTGGTGTATATTCTGGGACAGGATCTGGAACAAAGTCCTTTTTCAAAATCGCCCAGGCTGTTTTTTTTTTTTTTCCCCTTTCACTATAGAGAGCTTACTATGTTGCCTATAAAATCCAGGCCAGCTTCTAAATTTACCGGTTCTTTCAGATGGGAAAGCACATGAACACAAAGGCTTTGAGCTGGGACTTAAGAATTAATGAGAAAGTAGATTCAGCTGCTCAGCTGAGTGTCATGGAAGTGGATTCATGACTCTTGGCTGCATTTTTTTCTTTAAGCCTAATATGCATAAAAATGTTACTCCTTTCCTAGGTGGACAGTTTCCCAGCTTTAGAAGATGTGGACGTGGGTGAAGAAATGGAGCCCCAGATGAGGAAGGGTATGCCTTCTACAGTATTTCTCTTTTATCCTACTTGACCTCTTTTCTAGGAACTATAATTGAAGCTTTAGACTGCTTTCTTTTTTTCTTTTTTAGAGGTGAGGCAATCCCTTACTGCCACCTCTCCTGAAATCAGAAAGTTGTGAAATTTCTGTTTCAAAAATAAAGTCTCATCAAATTGGTCAAGCCCTTTTGAAGATTGTAAAACCTTTGGAGTTAAGTGAAATGAAGCTGCCCCTTCCCCATGCCTACCATTTACCACATAAGTGATTCTTGAATAATTGTCTCAGACACAGCTATTGTAAAGTCAGCCTCTTACTTCCCAGAAGTGCAGAGTTGTAAATTGAGGTCATTTTATGTGAAGGACACATAAAATAGTAATTGATCATAACAAATCAGAATTGATTATAAAAATATTCGTGTTTATTGAACATGTAAACCAAACACTTAAGACTAAAGATATACTGTAAATATTTCTTCTGGGTGTATTCCAATATAGTCTGCACTAGAAGAGGCTTAATGGGTCTGCTGATGTTTATATAGATGAAGATCTTTTTTTTCCTGGTTAATGTGTCTATGTAAACATAGGTACCCTCTGTTGATCCAAGGACCTGTGAGGTATGTTCAAAATTAGCGTTGTTTTGAAAACACTCATTCCTCATTCAATGTGCAAGAATATTACAACATCAGTGTTAAATTTTAGGGGCAGTCAGCTGACATTTAACTGTTGTTTATGGCTTTTCATAAGTCTTAAACAATGGATTATGGCCGTTTTTGTTGGAAGAGGACAGTATTCATAATCAGAGGAATAAAAGTGGCTGGGAGTAAAAATTTGGGGATGACTGTGTGTAAATTGGTTCTCTCTGCCCTGGCTTCTTTGTCTTCTTGAATTGGTGAGGCTTTGCTAATTAGAAGCAATTCACATTTTTATTCTGGTCCCAAACATCTCACTATTCCACTGAAGGGGTTGTTTCTTCATGGCTGTATTAACCAGTTAACTCGGAAGTTACTAAAAGGGACCTCAGATACTTTGGTTTCTCTTCAGATCGTATAAACCTTTCACCTTTTAAAAGGGATGTCAGAGATCTAAAGGAATTACATCTTGCAGGAAGGGCTCTCTAGCCTCATGTCCTAGGGACGAGGCTCTGAATTTGGGTAAGAGGAGTGTAGGGACTTTGGTTGGACTACAAGGGAGAACTAAGGACTATCAGGAAGTTGCAGTTGGAGACCAAGCACACTGTTTTGGGTTTGAGTGATTTGAGGAGGGACTTTCATAAAAAATGCAGATTCCTACATCCTGCTACCAAGACTTTAATTAACAAGGTCTTTGGTGGCATCTTAGTGATCTACATTTTTGACCAATACCTCAGGAAATTTGATGTAGTTTGAGGATGACTAATATTCAAGCCTAATGTTTATAGTCTGAATATAATACATATACATTATAAAATTTTATAGGGGGCCAGAAAAGTTGTGTATGATGGCATTTTTGTGATGGTTTAAACTTCTCACTTTCTGCCAGCAACAAGAAGGTCTATATACTAACGTAAACTAACATAGCCAACAAATCTGGCTTTTGTTATATCAGTCTTTTAAATTAACCTTTTAATCTTTTTCATTATTTTCATGTTGTTTTCTTTATAAACATTTTTCCAAGTTGCACCTTCTAATTATCAGACTTACTCCTTTACTTAAAAAATTGCCTGAAAACATCTCGCTAATATGATTTTTTCCAGAGGTCAGATAACAGGTGGTCTTGCATTTGTGTAAAAAAGGTTATTGGGGTTGAACCTAGACTCAAGGGACTTGAATGAGCTAGTCAAGACCTTCCCTTATGTAAAATGATGTGCAAAGCTGGGGCTGAAAATTGATCCAGGCTTCCACGATCTATTCTAATTACCGACAGGACCACGAGGGCTTCCCAATTTTCATACCGCACAATCTGGGTCACTTGAAAGGAAAAAAGAAATTAAATAGTTCGTGCTAAGTTGGATTTCAGTTTGAGCCTAATTTGTATTACACTTCGAGAATGTGAGCAGAAGGCAAATATTTATATCAGATGGGAAATGTGACATTTTAAATAGGCGGGTTGCTTGTATAATTTTGGCAGCTGAGAGGTTTACTGATTAGATTCTGTTGTTATTGTTTAAGCAACAGATTTGCCTGGGGCAACAAGGAAGTGGGTTGCATATTGTTTTTCTACTATTGATTTTATTTATTCACCTTATTCACTCTCATAAATACTCTTTTAAGAGTCAGGAACATGATTCTTTCTCAATATTTGCTTTATCATTTTGGCAACCCAGGTGGACAGAGTGGAGACGGTTCTGAGGAGCCAGCTTTGTACAGCAGTATTTGAATGGTTGTCTGCGGGTAATGGTTGCTAGAAAATTTGGTGCCCTGTGTTTATATAACATCAAGTTAGCTACCTTTTCCTCCTTCGAATTTGAGATAAGGTAGTCATTAGTGACTGTCATGCCATGTCTAAGATGGCTTAGTATTTTCCAGCAAAATAAGTTGAATGAGCTATTCGTTATGATGCTGAGACCATAAGAATAGGAAGGATTCTCCATTCGTTACGTACGCATGCACGCACACACACATGCATCCACGCACACGTACATACATATTTGCCTCCCCAGCTGGGCAGCCTTTTCGCTGGCTGAGGAGATTTTCTTGAGGTTGAGTTCTCAGCATTCTGTTGTCTTCTCCAGGTCTCTTGGCCAGCAGGTCTCTGGTCAGTTAGTAGGTGAGTGCATACAAATGCGGGCATCAGCCACACCCCCTTTAGTTCTGTGCTTGTCTTCAGTGGTAAGCAACTTTCGGGATTGTGTGACCAGAGATGGTGATGATGATCTTTTCATATTCCTCCTCTCCTTCTCTTCCTCCTCCTTCTTCATCTTCTCCTACTTCTTCTACTTGCTGAGACTTGAACCCAGGGCCTTGCACATGGTAGAGGCAAACACTCTACCACTGAGCTACATGCCCAACCCTGACCAGAGATTCTTGTTCAACAAATATTTAACAGTTGTGGCTGGTGCCTGGAATACAATGAAGAATGAAACAGTCCAATTTCTTGTCCTCATAAAATTCCTAATTGCTTAGAAGAACCAGGAATGAACCATATAATCGCAAATACATGATTACATATTGTTCTAAATTACATGAAAGTATAGGGTATGAGAATTTAAATTTGTGGGATCAGAGAAAGAGCCTAACTAGATAAGGGGTGTGGGCAAAGATGAGGGGTAGATAGGAAAGCACAGGGACAGCATGAGGAACAGCATGTGTTAAGAGTCTGACTGTGGTAGGAGGAATATGTCACATTTCAGCCAACTTTTAGACATTTTATTTTACACTTAAGACTGTCCAGGGCATGGAACATTACAATCCCTAATTTGAAGTTATAATGCAAAGCTACCATGATAAAAAAACAGCATGATACTGGGAAAAAGGAAAAGAGACCCTGGGATCAGTGGAACAGAATAGAAGATGCAGACACAACTCCAAACAGTGAGCTACCTTATTACTGACAATGAGACCAAACACCTTCTCAGGAAGAAAGGTAGCCTTTTTAACAAATGGGAAAACTGGCTTTCTATATGCCAAAAATTGAACCTAGACCCTTATCTCTTGCCATGCACTAAACTAAAATTGAAATGGATCAAAGACCTAAATATAAAAACAGAAACAATCTGCTGGAAGACAGAGTAGGTAAAACTCTTGAAGACGAGATATTTGCAAAGACTTCATGAATAAAACACCGATCCCACCGGAAATATTACAGAGAATCAACAATGGGGATCACATCAAGTTAAAAAACTTTTGCACAAAAAGAGACTATCAAAAAGATTGAAGAGACAACCCACAGAATAGGGAAAAAATTTTTGCCAGCTACTCCTCAGACAAAGGAATAATATCTAGAATACAGTATATTTAGGACTTCCAGGAAGATGGTAGAGTGGTAAACATCAATAAATCGGCCTCTCTAAGATTTGGAATCTAGACACTGGAAAATATCAACTTGGGGAAGAAAAGAAAGAGGGAGGTGGATCCCTGGGATCCAGAAAGGATCTGGTGGGAAAATTGGAGCTTGCAGAGAAAGTGAAGAGACAGACCTCAGTGCAGAAAAAGGAAGGAGAAATCTGTGTTTCCTCCCTGGCTTCTGGCTCATGGTGAGAGAAAAGAAGATTGAATCTACAGAGACAGTGAAACCAGGTGATGCCAGAGGCCTCCGGGGAAAAACAACAGAGGGGCAGAGCAGTGGATGCCATGCACTAAGACAGCGGTGAGTGACTCCAGTCCAAGTGTCTGCCACCTGGGGAGAGTGTTTAGTGGGATGCCATTTTAGGGAGGGGGCAGCTGAACCTAGAGCAGCTGTAGGGTGGCTTCATCTTAGGACTCCCACTGTTAAACTCTCCCAGTGTCTGGATGAGGGACTTCCATGGTGAGAGACCTCCATGGTAAGAGACCTCCATGGTCAGGGAGCCATAGTCAGCCTGACAGGAGATGCCGAGTATGCTGTAACCTGTACAGCTCAGGTCCCATCCCCTTGACCAGAGGCCAGGTTCAACCCGCATTTCTGTGGACTTGAAAGTCTCAGAAACCACATGCCACCCTAATCCTACCGATGCCTTGCTGGGATTATCCAGCATGGAGCTGGGCTCTGACTGCCTCCCTTGTCTACCAGAGAGAGCAGAGTCACGCCCTGAAGTGGACATTGCCACAAAAGTGTAGACCCCAGAAGATAACCATAGGCTTGAGATCAAAGAGAAATTTCTTTGTTGTTTTGTTTTTTCTTTGCTTTTGGTCTTTTCCAATTTGCTGGTTTAGTTGTTTTTTATTACACTTTTTGCTTTTGTGAGTGTGAACATTGTTCTTGGATTTTTTGTTTGGTTTTGTTCTTGTTGTAGTTTTCCTTCCCCACATCTTTTTCACCAGTAATATTAAGTACTGAGGCTTGGATAATCTTCCTTTGTCCTTCAGCCTTGCTTATAATA